GGGCTCAAACGTAGCAACAACAGTGAGGATGGCGCAGGACTGGGCAGTGTTTCATTCTGTTGTGCATGGGATCACTATGAGGCAGAACCGACTCGACGGCACCTAACAACAACAACAGCCTCCAGAACTGTTATCCGAGACTTTCTACTGGGGCCTCCTTCTTCCCAGTCTGCCCTGGCCCTAGGCTGGACTCCAGGCTCTTAGCTTTGCGAAGCTGGCATTAAATTTATGTTGTTTAAAGCCACCCAGTTGTGGTGCTTTGTCACAGCAGCCCTAGGAGTAACTAATTCAGAAGAGAAGGAGGCCAGTAAAGGGCGTGGTAGGGAGCTGGTGAGCGTTGTGGGCAACTGGAGCTCAAAGTTACTGGGGAAGTTTGGGAGACAGTGTAGCTGACACCTCAGAGTTCCTCTGCCAGGGCTATCTATCCACCAGTTCCCATCTGCCATTAACTGAGGATGCTCCAGAGTGCATTTGAGCTCCCTGGCACTTCTGGTCGGCCACTGCCAGAGAAAGTCTTAAGTTGTAGGTGCTGGTATCTTCAGTAAGTAGGAGGCTGCTAGCCTTTTGGGAGCAGTGACAGGCGAGGGGGATACAGGGGGTCACTGACAGTGTCTGCCTCAGGTATGCCACATACTTTGCATCTCTGTTAGGGGTTTGTAGCATAAAAATGGGAGTGTTCTTCTCATGAATAAAAACAAAAAGGTGTGGAAACTATTTAAAAAGGTTTAGTGATGAGCTGAAATTTGGAATCCCAACTTTGATTTGATTTAATTTGGTTCTTAGAGTGAAATTCTGATTACTGATGCTACCTCTAGACAAGAGAATAATTCGCTCACTTGGGCCTGGCAGTGGCTAGGTCATTCAGAGCAGAACCTCTGGATATGTGAACTGTGAACAGCAGTTAAGGTAACTCTGACTTGTGATAACAGGTAACAAACTGTAGGCACTCTCTGGAGTAAACAGGACAGTGTACCAAGAAAAATGCCTCTGAGTTTACTGCGTTTCTGTCACTCTATTTTCCTCTATCAGTTTTTTTCCTTTCTGTCCCCATCTTTTGCTAATCCTACCCTGATCCAACCTCACCCTGATTGTGGCTTTCTATCTTCTCCCCTTAACTGGTCCAAAAAAAAAATTTTTTTTTAATTGTTTTCAGTGTTTTAGAGCCATTAAATTATTTTTTCAGCAGATAGTTACTGAGGATTAACGGGACACTGGCAGTTCCACAGGAGAATTCTCACCTTCCATGTGGGAGATCCAGGTTCAGTTCCTGGCAACGTACCCCATGGGTGGCCACCACCAATCTGCCAGTGTGTTGCTATGAAGCTTAACAGGTTTCAGTGGAGCTTCCAGACTAAGATGGCACTAGGAGGAAAGGCCTGATGATCTACTTCTGAAAATCAGCCAATGAAAACCCTATGGCAATAAATAACCTGGTCTGACCCTATGCTAGGCAGTGGGGATACATCACTACTGAAAAGAGTTTTGTTCTTCATTCTTACGAAAGCTTTAACTAAAATTTTAATTTATTTCTCAAATAACTTCCAAATTAAGTTACTTTTATTTGTACATGATCTCTGATTTATTTTTCCCAAGTGTCAGCAGGAAACCTATAGAAAACAACTCCTTGCCCCAGTCTACCAATGAAGTAAAAAGTCCCCAAGTACAAAGTAAAAGCTAGAGAAGCCACCAGCTTCCCTGCGAAATCCCTAGCTTTTCTTTACTGCCGTTCTAACATGTTGACGCACGCATCATGAACCCTGTCACAGTGTAATTTTCTATCAATGGCTTGTCACGCCAACCAAGCCTAATTAGAAGGATGGTGAATTGAGCACTAGTTTAGACTGCTCTCCTTTCTTTATTGAAAATAAAGTTATGTCGACTGAATTCGTAAAATTTAGCCTTACCACCCAGCTTGATTTTATGCCATCAATCCAAGCCTGTCACATGCTAATTTTTTGGTTTTAATAAATACGCAGGAACTGCCCTGCTCCCCGCAGTCTGTGTAGGATGGATCTGCCAAGGCTGTGTGCCAGGTTGGAGTCTCAGCACTGCTTAAAGCCAAGAGGCTGTCACCAAGGAGGGTGTATATTTGAAAGAGGTGGTCTCAAACCATAAGAGTGCCTCTGAGGGAGTGCTTCAGGGTGGGAGGAAAGGAAGAAAGGTGGGCAAGTTTAGCTTTGCAAACCTATCCCCCCTTCACCCAGTACCTGAGGCCTGCCTCTGCTTAGTTAACAACAAAGCTTGGAAGGATTCCAATTTAACCACCTGGACTAACCCTTCCTCACTAGACCAGGCTACTAGCCCCCCTTTCAAAAATTTTTATTGTGATAAAATACATATTAAAAAATATTTGCCATTTTAACCATTTTTAAGTGTGTAATTCAGTGACAGTAATTACATTCAACATGTTGGGTAACCGTCACCACAGTCTATTTCCAAATGTTTTTCATCACCCTAAACAGAAACCCAATACAAGCAGTCCCCAGATTACAAACGCGTTCAGTTCCTAAATCTGTCTTTAAGTCGAATTTGTATGTAAGTAGAGCAGTTAGGTACGGTTTGTATCTAATGTCAGTCAAATCTGTGTCTTAGTATATAGTATATAGTATACCTTTCTATGCATAAAAAAAATTAAAGAAACACTTCCAGATACACTAAAACATCTTTAACATAATAATACAGAAATAATAATAATAATGTTTGATGTGCTTTCCAAAGT